ATATATATATATATATATTAATTAAACAAATTTAAAAAATTGGTTCGTTATTAAAGAGTATTATTCATCACATAAAAATTAATCTCCTTCAAAAGTTTAAAAAATATCAAATAAATAGACATCTTCTCCAAACTTAAATTATATATATATATATATATATATATATGATAATTTAAACATATATAATTTTATTTTATTAGAATATAACTTTTTTTTAAATGTATATTATTTTTTTGAATAAAAAAGTATGTATATTATATAAAATTGTAAAATGGTAGTGCAGGCAAGTGCTCCCACAATGTTGCACCTAAATCCATTTCTGCCTACATATATTTTCTCTTTTTTCTTTTCGTAAACTAACATGATAATTGTTATCTATTGATGTATAATATTTCTTTATATAAATTTTAGGTAGACAAAAAAAATATATTTAAAATAATTTTGATATATTTTAATAAAATGGAGAAGACCATAACCCCACCAGCTCCCCTCTTACATCCGTCCCTAAGGATGTCTAGTTAATTTAAAATTTTCAACATGAAACTCATCATAAAAATAAATAAAATAGTGAATTTTCATCCTTATCAACTTGATCTTGTTACAATGGAGTAACAAATATACATAGTATCCAAAGATGTGTGAATTGCTTAATATAATTCATATTTTGTAACAATAAATATATTCCTCCATAAATAATAAATTAATTATATGCATCTATAATTCAAATTTGTTATAAAAGAAAGTGTCTTCCTTACATATCATAAAAATTAAGAAAAGAGTATACTTTGAGAAGAAAGAATATTATTTTCTAATTAACATGGTAAGAATTTGTGCTAAAAAAGTGTTTCCATGCGAGGAATATACTTCTGGCACTACACAGTTGTTGGAATTGATAGTTTGATGACAAAATGAGTTGATCTAATCGAATCTAAATTTTAAATTTTGAGTTTTTGGTCATTTTAACTTAATCTAATCATAATCTAATGAGTTTAAGTCTGCAAAAACTTATCAAAATTAAATCGCAGCCCAATAGCCAACATTGGGCCGAATTACCTTTTGCCACTTCTATAACTTAATCAAAATTGGATTAGTAGAATGGTTCGATCAATTTTTTAATTGATCTTTTAAAGAACCAATTAATATAGAATAAATTAAACCAATTTAGAACCAATAATGATCAATCATAACTAATTTCACCTATTTAAAACCAATGACTTGTTCTACATAAAAAATAAATAAATAGGATCTAGTTTAAGGCCTTAATTTAATTTATATTATAATATGATGTTTATATGATGATTGATAAGCATAATGACTTTTTTGTTGTTTTGTTTGTTCCAGGAAATTGATACTTTATCCAAATGGTAATATCAAAAGCAATGGCAGTGGTTACGTCTCCTTATACTTGGCAATAGCAGATACCCAAAAGTTTTCTAATGGCTGGGAGGTTAACGTAAACTTCAAGTTGTTCGTCTTTGATAAGAAAAATGACAATTATTTAACTATCCAAGGTATATCAAATTCCTTATACTTTGTTATAAGAAAAATAACAATATATTGAGATTCACGTAGTCATATATAGTTTTGACTATTATAACTTGTAATTCTCACAAGTATTTTAGCAAAAATTTATCCAACACATGCCTCTTGAAGATGTGTCTTAGCAACATGTTATTTAATTTTGGCAGATGCTGATGGCACTGTAAGAAAGTTTCATGAAAAGAAAACAGTGTGGGGTTTTGACCAATTAATTTCGTTGGAGACCCTCCTTGATTCATCTAAAGGATACCTTGTTGAAGATTCATGTTTTTTTGGAGCTGAGGTATTTGTGATTAGCCAATCTGGCAAATGGGAAAGTCTTTCTATGGTCAAAGAACCTGCTCATGGCACCTTCACTTGGAAAATTGAGAATTTCTCAACATTGAATGAGACTTCTCACCTCTCCAAATCCTTTACTGTGGGTGCTAGAGACTGGTAATCAATTAAAATTTAACATTCTCTTCTCATTAATTTTTATCTATAAAAATTACAAATACGAAAACATAATTTTTAACTTAAAATCTTGTATATATTATTTTAATTTTCTACTATGTCAACTCCTAATTAATAATTCTGTTCTTCCCCTTTATGTTTGCCCAATCCTTCATAATCATTTCACCAATTTGTTTTCTATTTTTTTTTTAATTTAAATTCCTCCCATTTTAGTTATTCTTTTTTGTAGTTAATCATTAACTTATATTCAAAAATTTTTAAAATAATAATGTTGTGACACTCTATTGCATTTCTATGTCAACACATTCTTGCTCACATGTTACTATCACGTCAACATGTTAAACATTTGACGCTTGATTAACGTATTAATCAAAATTTCATAATCAAAATAGCGGTGAATCAAATTTAATTATAAAAAAATAAACATAAGTAAATAAATAGACCAAATTTACAAAATAATAATAACATAATTAGGAATAAAAGTAAAATTAAAAATTAATCTTTTCTTCCATTTATTTAGGAAATTGAGGGTTTATCCCAAAGGAGACTCACAGGAGAGAGGCAAATATCTATCTGTTTTCCTAAAGCTCACAGATTGTGAAAAGTTCCCACCAAACAGAACAGTGTATGCAAAATTCAAGTTTGGAATTTTAGACCAGCTCAGGAATAAATATCTTGAAAAAAACAGGTACTACCAATGCTGTGTATTAATTATTTTGGCACACAAAATTTATATAAATACCACTTAAAATTTCCTGATGAATTGTGTATTTTCTTGTGCCGCAGCACACCACTGGTTTAATAGTAATGAATGGGGAGATCACAGGTTCATAACTCTGAGTGAACTCTATAAAGCAGCAAGAGGATATATTAGAGATGACAATATAATTATAGAGGCTCAAATCCTTCTGATATCAATAGTTAAGAATTCTTCCTAGAAAAAATTATTTTCATATTAGTGTTTAACATAAAAATAAATTAAGAATCGCTTGTGATTTTGGAGAACAATTATGGTATGGAAGTTGTGGGTGTGATTCGTGTCATGCACGAGATGTTTGAGTTGTCAATATAAATAAAAGTATAATGATATTTATGAGATGTAATTTATATATATATATATATATATATTAAAATTGTGCATTTTCTTTTGTTTTTGTAAAGAATAAAAACAGGAAGCAGGAAGAGGCGACAGCAAACAAAAAAAACAACTTGTGTAATATGGGGGATGCAAGAGTGTATCCACGTTTTCTGCATATTTCAGCATTTTTATAATGACCTTGTTTTTTAAAATACAATGTTACAAGTAAAAAAGTAATGTCATGACTTAGTTTAAACATTTTTCAAAATTATGATTATCACTCACTTTTACATACTTTTACCTACTACTATAGATTGATTAAAACATATTCCATATTAGAAATTATAAAGTGACATATTTGACCATTTTTATATCTAAAATATGAAGAAAAGTTGTAAATCTAATATTTTTCTTTGAACGTTTCAAGTTTTGATTTTAAATTGATTCTTGGAAAGGATTTCTGGTCTCATGATATTTACTATTTTTCATATTTATAATATTTCAAGAAGAGTGTACATTACAAGAAAATATTGAAATAGCTGCGAAAAATAAGTGTTGACTAATAGATGATGCAAATATTTCGAAAAAGTTAACATTACTTTAAGATGTAACATTGGTTTTTTTGACACTAAATTTATATTGAGTTTAACGTCAGAAAGTCGACACTATTCTTTAAATATAACATCGACTTTTTCGACACTAAATTTAAATTAAATTAGTGTCGGAAAAGGAGACACTATATTTAAAGAATAGTGTCAGTTTTTCCGACACTAAACTCAATTTAAATTTAGTGTCGAAAAAACTGACTCTACATCTTAAAATAGCGTCAGCTTTTTCGAAAGTATAAGTGTTTTGAGAGAGATAAATATAGTTTTTTCAATCTTATCAAGTTCACTTAAGATGTCAAGGTTCCAAGATTGAGTCTCGAGAATGTTAAAAATACAAATGAATAAATGATAAGCTGGAAAATGAAAATGAAGAAAAAAATAAAATAAATTTTGTGTCGAAGTAATGTCGTCTTAACTCACAATAAAAAAAATTAAAATAAATAAAATTGTTATCGTAAGCGACACAAAAAAATTGTCGACTTATTTAGCGTCAGCTAAAAATCGATGAACGACCGACAATATTATGTCGGTTTTTATTATTTAGAGTCGACTTTTGGTCGACTCTAAAGTGAAACATTTTTGTAGTTGTATTTAGAGCAACTCCCATTGTAGTTGTTTGTCCTGTTTCTTGTTTCAAGGGACAACTTCTTCTCATTGGAGCACTCCTACGTGGCAATATGAGTTGCTTGAAGAAAAGGGAGAGTTGCTTCTACAAACAACTATTGCTTAATAATTAAAAAAATAAATTTCTCTTCCCCTCCATGCCTAACCGAATACTAAATTTTGGTGGGGGAAGAGATCAAAACAATGAAAAACCATAGAAAACAAGAAATCAGAAGATCCACAATAAAACAATAGATCTAGAACAAGAATAATAGATCCACAACAACAATAACATATCCAGAATAATAGCAAATTAATTAAACTGAAAAATGAAAAAAATTAAAAATAAAAAAGACATAATGAATAAGGGGAAGGTACAGGGAGGGTGAGGGTGAGGCAGGGGTTTGACGGTGCGGGGCTTGACGGCGAAGGCGCGGGGTTTGATGTTGGCGGGGCTTGATGGTAGCAAGGCTTGGGCGCGGCGGGGATGGGCTGGCTATTGGAGTCATTAAGTCATAATATTCCCTTTCCTAAAATTGCTCCTCAATTTCAAATTCAAAATATTCATTTATTTGTCATTTACTATTGTTGTAACAATCCCTATAATTTAGCTTTATGGTGTAGGTTATAAATGCATACCATGTACACATGTTATGCAAGTTTGGAAATTATTCAATCAAATCCTTTATTCACATGGTATCAGTTTAAGCCTTAAGCCTCACAGCAAATACGATCCTATCATGGCTACCTCTTCCAAACCCATCATTGAACTCACCTCAGCCTATACCCTTCCCATCAAGCTTAACTCTAGCAACCATCACACATGGTACAACCAAATTCTTCATCTTCTCAAGGCCAATGACTTGTTTGGTTATGTGACTGGTGATGTCCCCTGTCCCTCACCCAACATTGAATCCAATTCCACTCTCATTGACAACCCCGATTATGCTCATTGGAAACGCCAAGACCACTATGTCTATCTCGCTCTATTGGCATCATGCAGCAGTGATGCTCAAATTGTTATGACTTCTGCTGAAACATCTGCGGCAGCCTGGACTCGCCTAAACAAACAATATGCTAATCGCTCTCGCACACGCGTTATGTCCCTCAAAGAGCGACTCATCGTTCTAGTCAGATCTGACGTCTAGAAATAGGAAAGTCGAGCATTGCTCCCAGGATTGAAAAAATTTGCCTACTAGAATCTTGGATAACTCAAAATTTTTCTCTCTCTCCCTCTTCTTTTATTTCTTGAGATTTGTGAGGCATATTATAGTGCGTAAGGTAGCCAAAAAGCACTTAAGGATCTCCACATTTGAAGATTCAATAAAGTTCGAGCAAGAGGTATTTCAGTCAATGCTCTTCTCCTTCCCTTACTTCCTTATTCTTAATAAATATTGTTCTAGATAAACAATAATCTATTCCTACCCTATTCTCATATCAAGTATGATCATTGTAATCTAAAATCTAATCACAAGAAAACATTCAAAAGTAAATTTACAAAAATCTAAAAGGTTGTCCAAAAGATGGTCGTCACTTATAAGGATTGGCACAAAATGTTACTTTTCGCTTTACATGGGTATAGGACATCTGTCCGTACATCGATAGGTGCCACACCTTTCTCCTTGGTATATGAGATGGAGGCAGTCGTACCTATAGAGGTGGAAATTCCTTCTTTAAAATTACTCATGGAAGCAAAGATTCCTAAGGCCGAGTGAGTTCAAACTAGATTCGATCATCTGAATCTCATAAAAGAGAAAAGGTTGGACACTATCTATCATGGACAGACTTATCAAAGAAAAATTAAGAAGGCTTTCAATAAGAAAGTTCATCCCCAACACTTCTAAGAGGGTGATTTGGTGCTCAAGAAGCTTCTACCAGTCCAAAAGGATAAGATAGGAAAGTGGACACCAAACTACAAGGATCCATATGTAGTCAAGCAGAATTTTTCTGGTGGAGCATTGATCCTTACCAACATTGATGGTGAAGAACTTGCTTATCCAGTAAACTCCAATACCGTAAAGAAATTTTACGCTTGAACGCAAATGCTTGCAAAAAAAATCCCATTAGGATACATCCTAGGCTAAAGCTTGGGATAAGCCAAAAGGCAAGCGACAAACATCTAGGTCGAAAACCAAAAGGTGATCTAGGTACCCTATCAACCCTTTGGAGAATCCGGTCAAAGGTCCAAGTATTGTTGGTCGGACAATTAGGAGGATGTTTATCTTTGTTTCTCAAAGTCATTTTTGCTTAAGCCCAAACACCGACCTACCTTAGCCATCCCTTCTTATTAAATCCCTTTTGTAATCTTTTCTTGAAGCTTTTTTTTATTTATAATAAAGATATCACTTTTATTTCATTTCTCTTGACCCATATGTTTAAATGACATGTTTTATTATTAAATGAAAATTGAATTGACCTAATAAAAAAAAAAACAAAAATAGCCCCACATGAACTCCTAGCAAGTGAAAGTTAACACAAAAGGTTCTATGGCAAAAAATGGTTAAAAGAGTAATGAAATGTCGTCCAATAATGGTAAACATCTAAAAGGCTTATTGTGTGTGTATGGTATACGTAAGACATATATTCAGAAAGAATAATTTTTTTCACATCTAAGGGGAATTATCTAATATAAGCAATAAAATGTAGATATTTTTTAAAGCATTCATCCACCATCATAACAGGTGATCTAGAGAGGTCGACACAATAATACTCACCATCACAAAGTAGGCAGCCTAGAGAGGTAGGCACAACAATACTCAACATTAAAGTAAGACGTATGGAGAGGCATCATAATACTCACCTTGGCAAGAATAGCACTAGATTCCTGGCAACCACACACATCCCCAAGGAAGATGCCTGGAAAGGCATCATAATACTCACATGGTAGGAGCAACACCATAATCCCTGTCATCCATCCATTCAACAGTCCAAGGATCACCGTCGAGTATCCACCAAGGGTTCCAACATCCACCTTCACAAAGGACATTAACAATATTCATCTTGATTGAGAGACGCCGTCAAGCTCCTCAAATCAGGACACGATAAGGAGGGCACCGCCAAGTTCCTCAAGTCAAAACAAAGATCACCGTCAAGTATCCGCCAAAGGTTCCGAGGTCCACCTTCATAAAGGACGTCAATACTCATCTTGATTGAGAGATGTTGTCGAGCCTCTCAAACTAGTGAGCGACAATGAGGGCACCGTCGAGTTCCTCAAGTCAAATCAAGGATCACTACCGAGTATCCGCCAAAGGTTCCAAGGTCCACCTTCAAAAAGGATGTCAATACTCATCTTGATTGAGAGATGCCATCGAGCCTTTCAAATCAGTGAGCAACACCGAGGGCATTGCCGAGTTCCTCAAGTCAAACCAAGGATCACCCCCGAGTATCCACCAAAGGTTTTGAGGTCCACCTTCACAAAGGATGTCAATACTAATCTCGATTGAGAGACGCCGTCAAACCTCTCAAATTAGTGAGCGACAATGAGGGCACCGCTAAGTTCCTCAAGTCAAACCCAAGATCACCATTGGGTGTGCACTGAAAGGTTCCAAGGTCCACCTTCATAAAGGACTTCAATACCCATCTCAATTGAGAGACTCCGCCGAGCT